GATGGAGCAATGCAATATTTATCAGAAGGGACTTTTCCTCCTCCTTCCGCCACCTCATTGGGGATGTTCCTCACCTGGAATCCAGGAGCACCAGCAGGACCTTGTTCACCTCTCTCTCCAGCAGGACCCTGAAAGAGGAGGGCAGAGAGACAGAAAGGGTCAGTGGCCGACAGGGCTCGGAGCACGTTCTCCGATGGCCACACATAGATCGTGAGATCAAAGCAAGGGTTATACTCACAGCAGCGCCAGGAGAACCTTGAGCACCAGCTTCACCATCCTTACCAGCTGCGCCCTGAGGATGAGGAGAGAGAGGTTAAAGAGAGACTGGGGCAGAAAGGGTCTCAGACATGATTACAGATCATGTGAAGAGTCTGAAGTAAAAGTCATCTGAGTGCCTACAAGGCAGGCCTCACAGGCTCTTTTGCTAACCTGTGGAACTATCTGCCATTAGGTATGATGAAAATGGACAGACATAAACTTTCATTCTTTGTAGACCAAAATCCAGAGAACAAGCAATTATATGGGTTTAGGAAGAGCCAGCCTCCCTGGGCATGTAAGCTCACTGCAAAGGATTTTACACCTGGCCACTGTCAGAGACTGGACATTGCCCTAGACGGACCACAGGTCCAACCCACTGTGGAAAGCTCTATAATATGTAGGTCTGTTTTATTATCATGGGCCTTAAAACACTTCTACAGCTCAGAAGACCAGGCCTGAGTCCTCATTGTTGCAGTTTTTTTGCAGAGCTTGGCCTCAGCTCTCTCTCACTTTCTCATCTTGAAGGAAAGAGGCCTCAGAATGCAAGGTTTGGCCCTGGGAGAGTGGATTTTTAGTCACCATCCATACCAAGAAGAATACTTACAACAGCACCAGGGGGTCCAGGAGCTCCTCTCTCACCAGGTTTGCCAGGCTCACCCTAAGTAGAAGAACAAAATAGTTTACTAATGGGGTGAAGAACATTGCCACAAACCAGTAACTAACAACTATTAAAGATGTTAGGGCTCCTGTATTCCCCTAGACAATGGGCATGACTGCAACAGGACATTGTGAAAACAGCCATGATGGAAAGCAGGCATTACTAGCCCAATGGTCCTTCTGTGGAAGCTCCAGGTGGAACTCCCTAGCTAAATAAGTTCCCCCTAAATCCCTTTATCTCAGGTTTCCTCTCCTGTTCACCTCATCTCTTTCTTTCTCCAAGGGTCTTCCCATTTTTTCCTCCCTTCTGGGTGACCTCTCTTCTTACATGTATCACCTGAGGGAGAGGTTCTCAGAGTCTCCCCATCAGGCTCTCCCATATAAGATGGTGTTGGAGGAGGCCTCTGAGTCATTGTCTTTTACAAACTATCACCCTTGGCAGCCAGGAGCCCTGAAGGCAGCTATTACTGGAAGCTAGAAGGCCTGAGCACAGACATTTTGTGACTGTCTCATCCTGTTCTGGGTGGATGCAAGCATCTCCTACTTTGGCCTCTTCCAGAGGAAGCACCTTCTCTCTTCAAAGCCCTGGGCACTCATTTCAGTAAAGAAGTGGGTCGTTTATACTTACAGCAGCACCTTTAGGTCCAGGGAAACCCATCACACCAGCCTGACCTCTGGCACCAGGTGGGCCTGGGGGTCCTGGGCGACCATCTTGACCAGCAGGGCCCTGTTGTGGAAGAAGTAAAGATATTGTAGAGGATACTGTTGTGAGAAAAACACAAAGGTGATGAAGGAGGATGAGTCAAATGTTACTTACAGGTGGACCAGTCTTGCCATCAGGACCTGGGCTACCTGGGCTTCCAGTAAGACCCTAGAAAGGAACAAGAGACAGGTTAGGACATAAGACCTTCAGCTTCCTTTGCTGTGCATGAGTGGCTTGTGGTGGTGAGACAAGGCAGCAGGGCTGCAATGGGACAGGCTGTAATGAGAGACCACAAGCTGGCCCTCTTGGGAGCCCTGAGAATAAGTTATTTGCTAGTGGGTAAGATTTAGGGTGGCCTAAGCTGTTTTTCTTCATGAAAGAGGAAGGTACAATTTCTTTGCTGGGCCCACTTACCATCCGCTCCTAAGCCATGTATACTAAGGTGCCTGAGAGCAGAGGCACCAAGAGAAGGTGTGTGTGGGGGTGGCAGGGCATTGTCATGGGAGGACATCTTACAGCAACAGCTCAGTTCCCCTTTGGGATCTCTAGGCCACCGGCCTTGGAGCACTGGAAGTGTTTTGCCCTCATCCATGCACAACTCACTTCCTCCTCTAAGTACTCACCTTGGCACCAGGGAGACCAGGCTCACCAGGGCGTCCAGATTCACCAGTAGATCCTTTGGGACCAGCAGGGCCAGGGGAACCACGTTCACCAGGGGGACCCTGTAGGGTGGGGGAAAGAGAAGAGAGAGGTCACCCACTGTGGCAGGGAGTGACATCAGGGGCAGGGGGAAGTGGGACCCTCTGTGTTTCTGGTAGTGACATCAGATGCAGGGGGAAGTGGGACCCTCTGTGTTTCTGCAGAGAGGAGGCTGAACTCAATTACCAGCTTCCCTGTGGCATAAAAAAGTTGGGTAAAGGAGATGGAGAATGGATGTGCATTGATTGGCTGGCACAAGTGAGGGGAAGCATGGGGGATGAGTACTGTGATTTAACAGCAAAGCAATTACTCTGCTATGGAAAAGGCTGAGGTGGCCTACACAAACAACCTCCTAGGGCATGTGCCAGGTTGGTCCAAAGCAAAAACACTCTGCTCCCCAAATCCAGAACATGGAATGATGTATAAACTAGTAGAGAAAAGATAGCTGCCAGAGAGCATCTGAGTAGCTGATCAGACCCTGCAGGGCAGACTGCCTCTGTCCCCAACACTAGAGAGCCTCCCGCTCACAGCTCCCTTTGCGGGATTTGGACGCCCCCAGATGTCCAGGTGTGGGTTTCCCTCCCAGAGTCCTAGGTGTACTTCAGAGGGGAGAGGGGGATAGAGATCAGTGTCCCCTGGGGTCAGTGTTGGATTCTGCCTTTCCTCTATTAGCAGGGGTAAAGATGGAGAAAGACCCATGCCTACCTTGGGACCAGAAATGCCATCAGCGCCAGGGAAACCACGGCTTCCAGGAGCACCCTAGGATGGGACAAAGAGACAGGTGAGTTAAAGGCCTGTGTTTTCAGCAAGGGGCACTGGGAAAGAAAAGGGGGCTTCCCAGCACACATGCATCCTCCTCCTGCAGTCATGCACATCACATCCCTGTGAGTAGGAACAGGCCACAGATGTACAGTGCAGAGGGCCATGGGTTTTGGTTAGGTGCTTTATAAAAATGGGGCTGAAGTCTCTTATGAACTGGACCTGGCCTCCTGCAAAGTTGTTGAGGTTATGGAGATAGGGGCCAGTTGTGACGTGCAGAGTGGGATCTGGGTCTAGTTCCAGATCAGAGTTCCTCACTCCAAATGTACAGGAGGCATTAGGACCCATCTCTGTGTGAGTGAGGTGGAGACAGAGCTCCAGATCTGACTGCGATGATGCCAGTGAGCTGCTGGGAAACTGAGGCAGAGAGAGTGAGGTGCTACTTACACGTTCGCCAGCAGGGCCAGGAAGACCGCCAGGGCCGGGCTCACCACGGGCTCCTCTCTTGCCTTCTTCACCAGCTGGACCAGGTGGGCCTTGGACACCAGCAGGACCCTAGAGAGCAAGACAGAGGGGTGAGTGCCTGCCTGTGTCCACTGAACCGGACTGGGAACAAAACTGTGAGAGGAGCTAGTAGGATGGTACTTACAGGTTCTCCTTTTGCACCAGTGTCTCCCTTGTTGCCTTGAGCACCGGGTTCACCCTGGAGGTAGAAGAAAGAGAAGCCATTTAATTATCACATATGTGTGACTAGAGCGTTACTGGAGGCTGTTACCCACGCTGAAAAATGAGGGCCTGATCCTGTCAGGCACCAAGCATCTTCAGCGGGAGAGCAGGATTCATAGCATCTCTTTGAAAGTTCTCAGCACCCCCTGGCAAGGGATAGAGGCCTTCAATACTGTACTTCAGATGGGAAGGGGAAATGTGGATGTTAGGGACAGAAGGGTGGAGGAGGAACATCTCCAGTGGCTGAGGACAAAGGACAGTGTTACCTGGACAGTTGTTGGACTAGTCAAGGAGGGCACATACTGGAGGGTTGAATGGGCCAGGGATTTTTTCACAAAGGGACCTTGCTGCCCTCTCCAAGCCCAGTGGATCTTTGCCACCCCCTGGAAGGTGCATGGGGCCAGTCCAATTCATCTACAATGAAGAGCAATGAATGACACTTACACTGTTACCCTTGGGGCCAGGAGCACCGCTGGGACCCTGGGGTCCAGATGGGCCACGAGCACCAGGGAAGCCAGGAGCACCAGCAATACCAGGAGCACCCTAGAGGAGGCAGAAGAGAGAGTAAGGCAGCTGATAAAACCTCTCTGCTGAGAGCTGCTCAACTCTGGAGAAAGAGGGAGGATGATACTTACAGTTGCACCTTTGGCACCAGCTTGACCATCAGAACCAGGGTTGCCCTAGAAGAGAGGAGGCAAGACAGCAATGTTATCACTGGGGACAACCAGACAGGTGGAAAGCAATTAGGCAAAGGGAAACTGCAAGAGTCACTTGTTGGTTCCACTTACAGCAGGACCAGCAGCGCCAGCAGGGCCAGGAGGACCAGGCTCACCACGAGTACCCTGTGGGCCTTCACTACCACGAGAACCTTGAGGACCAGTTTCACCCTACAGAAGGAAGAAAGACCACTGAGCACCATGGATGCTGCAGAAACTCCACCATCCCCTCCACTCAAGGGAAAACCATTTTCACTCAGGTCTGATGACTAGACTGGAGCTGTCTTGCTCTGCTGAGACCTGCTACCTCCATCTCTGTGGTGAGGCAAAAGGGTTATGGGATGGTAGGTAGACAATTACTAGGGCCCCTTAGTAATCTCCAAGGCCCTTAGATTGGAATAAAAAAATGCTACTGCTGTTAAACCCCAGGCTGATTAAAGGAACTCCCTTAGTGTCATCACAGGCGAGGCTAGGTTTCACTCCATGCAGAGCAGAGGTGAACACACAAGACTATATTGCATGTTGAGGGGCACAGGGGCAGGTTTGGGCCCCTCATCCAGCTCTAGTTTTAAAGCCCATGTGGACAATACATTAAAAAATCTCAAATTAAAGTCTAAGATTAGCTTCCACGCAAGGCAGCTGCCACAGAAGTTCATCTGCAGAAATGCAGAGGTCCACCAAGGTGAAGAGAGAGGCATGTGTCCTTACCTTAGCACCAGCAGCACCAGGGAAGCCAGGGGGGCCAGCTGGGCCAGTTGGACCCTAAATGAACAAAAGGGTATATTAGTGCACAATTATAATGAAGATCAATCAGGACCTGGCAGGTTCTCTCAGCAGCAGCTATCTTGGCCTCAGCCAGGATTTCCAAGCTGCGGTCAGAGGTTTGGTCTGTGATTTGACAGCAGCAGGAAAAGGGAGAGCGGAGGGAGAAAACCCTCCTATCCGTGGGCAGCTAGTTCCTGAGAGGGGTTGTGCTGGTGCCACGATTATGGCTAAGCCAGTCAAGTTCCACAAGGAGAGAGATGTGGCAATTACCGTGGTCAGCACGTGCATGGTCCTACCTCTGCGTGCAGAGGTTATTCCTTGGTATTGGGAGTATACTTACTGGAGGGCCAGCAGCACCAGGACTACCATCGTTACCACGAGCACCCTGCAGGCAAGAAGAAGAGAGAGGCAGGGGTTACAATCACGTCTGTGCTCAGTAGTGGCCCCAGAAGTGGACCCTGTCACATGAGCCATGGAGCTATCCCATGGGGCAAAACCAATAGTGACACTGCCAAGGGGATGCTTCCATGTGAGCACACCTCAGTGGCACAGAATATATACTTACAGCAGGGCCAGATGGACCAGGGCGGCCTCTCTCACCGGGAAGACCACGAGGGCCCTAGAAAGGTGCAGAGATACAAGTTACTCAAAAGAAGATGCCATCCTCACCCTCTCTGCCATATGCCTCTAGCTTTGTATCTGTACAGCTCAGCACCTGCCACACTCCACAACTCACCCACCTCCTGCCAGGCTTCAGGCTGATAAGACAGTCCTCACTGCTCTTTAGTGCCAAGGCACTATTGTAAAACCAAGCCCTCTGAAAGCAAACTGTGCTCTCTCAAATGCATCTCTTTCC